AGGGTTAGGGTCAGGTTAGAGTTATTTAGGGTTAGTTATGGTCAGGTTAGGGTTAGGGTCAGGTTACAGTTACTTAGGGTTAGTTGGGGTTAGTTAGGGTCAGGTTAGGATTAGTTAGGGTAAGTTAGGGTTAGTTAGGATCAGGTTAGGGTTAGGGTCAGTGTGGGTTAGTAATGGTTAGAAATGGTCAGGTTAGGGTTAGTTAGGTTCCACTAGGATTAGTTAGGGTCAGTTAGGGTTAGGGTCAGGTGAGGGGTTAGTTAGGGTCAGTTACAGTCAGGTTAGGGTTAATTAGGGTCAGGTTAAGGTCGGATAAGGTTAGTTAGGGTCAGTTATGGTTAATTAGGGTTAGTCAGGGTTAGGGTTAGTTAAGGTAGGTTAGGCTCAGATTGGGTTAGTTAGGGTCAGTTTAGGGTTAATTAGGGTCAGTTAGGGTTAGTGTTAGGGTCAGTTACGGTATGTTAGGGTTAGTCAGGGTCAGATATGGTCAGGTTAGGGTAAGTTAAAGTTAGTTAGCGATAGATGGGGTTAGTTAAGTTCACTAAGGGTCAGTTAGGGTTAGTTGGGTTAACTTAAGGTCAGGTTAGGGTTAGTCATGGTGACTTAGACCCACCGATGCCTCGGTGGGGCTCCGGCGGACAGCAGGCGAACTTCAGCACGTCGGCCCTCTTGTCCCTCAGGCCCCAGCGGTACAGGATCTCCCCGTAGCTTTTCCTAAAGTCATCGAACTGCAGCGTGTTGGCCGGGTCCAGCAGCCTGCAGGACAGGAAGTGACATCACAGACCCAGAGCCAGAACCAGACCCAGATCCAGGTTCATGTCTTAGCTTGTATGATCTTGGTTCAGGCTGTACTGGAAGTAATTGCTCCTTGTGAGATCAATAAAGTATTCAATCAATCAGACCCAGAGGCAGAACCACTCCCGGACCTGCGGCAGAGCCAGAGCCAGACCCAGACCCAGAGCCAGAGCCAGAGCCAGATCCAGAAACAGATCCAGGTTCATGTCTTGGCTTGTATGATCTTGGTTCGGGCTGTACTAGAAGTAATTGCTCCTTGTAAGATCAATTAAGTATTCAATCAATCGGACCCAGAGCCAGAACCACACCCAGACCTGCGCCATAGCCAGAGCCAGAGTCAGACCTGAGCCAGACCCATACCCAGACCCAGAACCACACCTACAGCCAGAGCCGGGGGGGCCTCTGGGGCCTCCTCACCTCTTGTTCATGTCATGCTGCTCCCTCTCCCGCTCCCGGGGGTCGGCGTGGACGCCGTGGCGCTGGTCGTCGGGGGAGGCCTCGCCCCACGGCGGCGCGTGCTCGCCGTCCCGCACTGAAACGACAGGAAGTGAGCGGCCGGGAGGAGGCGGGGCCACGGCCTCATGGGCGGGGCCTCGGGGGGCGGGGCCTCACCTGTGCTCCAAGCGCTGGGGGTGATGGAGTCGAAGGTGCTGGAGGCGGAGCCCGAGGTCAGCGAGCTGGACGTGTAGCTGGGCTGAGACACATCACATGACGCATGACATCACTTCCTGTGAGAGGCCACAGCAAGCCGCTGCCTCCCA